CACATATCACGGAAGAAAATATTTATATTCAGAGTTCCTAAAAACAACTTGCAGACCAAGGTTAAGGCATAATACATGTGTAACCTTTTGCTTCTTTCATGAGTACACATGTAAAACATGGCATGAGGGAGTTTCCCAAAACGTTTACAGGAGAGGACATACGTTTTTTACCAAGGGTTGTTTACGAGTCGGGTTGTAAGTGGAAAATAGACACGGCTAGAGCACAGCTTCCTGAGGCATTCTGGAATCTTTGACCAAGGGTTTAAACGAAGCCAGTCTATCACTGAAATGGTTGGATAACCAAGCTAACAAAGGTTGGATGCATTCATGCAATTTCAGTTCTAGCAACAAATGAGATTTTCGTCCCGTAGCATTCCATATGCAGCTTTAATGCTTTTTACGCACCCCTCCCGGCCCATTCTGCGTGACACAAGTAGATATGGTTATGTAAGCATTTCACAAACCAATAGGGGTACATGATCTTGCTGGTTTGTTTATCATTCATCTTTTTACCTGCTGACCTTCATGATTAGCGATATAGACGTAGACACTTTCACAAGTCGTTTGAACCGAAAAGCATATGAAAGAAAGCGTTTGATGTGGTGCGTGGTCTAACGGGAAAATGTGTTTCCCCTATCCGAAAGTTGAATAAATTTCTGTCGTACATCAACACTAAAGTTGACTGAGCACCTTTAGATCTTTTCATTCAGCGCAAACCAGGAGAGCGCTGATTACTTTAGCTGGCAAGATAATTCGGATTGCGTGTTAAATGATCATGTTGGGGACTGTAAAAGACACCCGTTATCGCAGTGCATATGAATTAGCAGCGGCTAGGTAACACGTGGTCACAGCTGATATCTTCTGTTTAGTTCTTGAACAAGACAAGACTCGATCAAACTTTATCAACTGTCATGTCAACGTTTTTACTTTGCACTTATTCGGTTCTGTCAGTGTGATCACCGCGGGGTATGATAAGTTAGCACGTTCATACATGCCGGTTCTCTTGCTTCCCCCCGCAGCAGCAGCAACAGCAGCTCACTGTCTCACTCTCACTTGTTCATTGACTGTTTCGCATACTAACATTGTCTTTTGTTTCTGGGTATTCCGCACGGAAACGGGGTATCGTGATGGAGAAAAAAATCAAAGTGAAAAAGGATTTCAGCAACATTGTGAAGAAAACAATATCACGCACAGGTGCCACCCGCTGAATACGGTCTCATGCACAGACTAATGTACGCTCATGGGCTAAGATGAGAGTGCATCAACACACACATGACTGGCTGCTAATGTGATCAAATATTCCTCTCGTACTCTGTCAATTCTTCCTTTCTTTACAGTTGCCTTCATTCTCTCTCTCACACACACACGGGCATGTGAGAGAAAAATTCGATCTATATGACATTCCGATTTCGTGCACACCAAGTCTGAACCACATTGTCCCGGTCTGTCATCGTTCCTTGATCCAACAGTCTGAAGCGGTATGCGTGCGTTTCACTACGACCCACGCCGTCACCTCACTCTGGTAAAAGAATAGAGTGAGATTGAAATACTACAACCAAACGTTTTATTGAGCTCATTCGTGCATGTGCTCATTTAGAGTCAAATCTGGACGTGGACAAACCGAGCCACCCGACGAAGGACATCCTCACATCCCTCCGGATCGATTCACAAACCCAAATTTGATGAGAATAGACAGAATGATTTGATTTCCGCTGTCTATTCCCGATAATCAGCTAATAAGGTTTTACAGAATACCTTTTCTTGGATTTTTTCACAGCTTGCGTATACATACGAGTCAGAAATGAGGTAGTTCATTTCAACCGGGGCACCGTTTGCTGCTACCGAAATTAATCACACGTCGAGTACACCCTAGGTCAACCTAGGCCGTCTGACAACTTAGATACCAACTCTATTGGCTGACGAATGGTGAAACGTTCTTCGTATCAGGTGTAGGGCAAATGAGTGTTAGCTAGTAAGGTCAGAAGCAGTTAAACAGTCCTAAACCCACCACCGTCCACACTGCCACGGGTTCCGACTATGTCGAATTAAATTAGTATAGGTCGGTCAGCGCATCCGCACAGACCTCATCAAATGACGGATCCTACTGCGTTTCTGACATCTGGGTAAGATGTTGGTCCACTGTCAAAGAGCAAAGCGTTGCATCCAATCACCGCTGTGAAATCCCAATGGTGCATCAGGTTAGTACGGTCGGAGTGGTATGACTATCCGGGTGTGACCTTTACGGATTTCCGAAAGCGCGAGAAAACTAAACTGACCGCGACAAAGTGATTAATTTACTCCAGTGCGGATAGTGATGCCGTGGCCTGGCTCTGATGACAGCACGGTGCATAGATTACACGTTCTGTTCGACCCAAACACCAGTCGTTGTCATTGTTTTCAGTGTTCACACGTACTAAGGCCACGGAAAGTTGTCCTGAGTCATCTGCATCGCCAGGTGGCCAGATTCGGACAGACCGATCGTCGGACGCCAAAAATACGCCACGAGCCACGTAACGTGCATTTATCATCATTATTACTGGTCTGAGTCAGAACGAGGAAATCCAGACGATGATAGGTGGCACACTTGGTAAGTGGATTTAGGGCAAGAATGTTCGTGGAGGAAACCGGGAGGGGGGCCGGTAGTACAGGTGCTGGTGGTGGTGGTGTTGCCAGAGAAATGGACTAAGAATCGGGTCACTGCCTGGGCTGAGTTTAGAATGAACCACTTTATCACTTAGGTTGCCATGTGTAAGAAACCAGAACTGGGTTGTACGGTAGAGTACCGTGTCTCCCGAATGTGATCTCATGGTGCTTTGGCAACTGCAGTAGGAACAGCATACTTACGCTTGTGTATGTGCGTGTATGTGTGGTTACCATCACCACACACAGTTGTGTGGTTGTTTTATACTTGCAGGTAATAAAAACAAGATCTTGACTAGTGAATGGACAAGTAGCTCAGCTTCTTTAACACGCTCATGATTGTTGAGCGGGTATTGTAAAGAAGACTTGCACTGAACTCGGTAGCACTTTGAGAATGATTGATTTCAGTTACACTGTGGTAAAGTTTGGAACAAAAAGTAACTAGGTGAAAATAATTTTCAAATCGCCACCTGCTGAAACATGATAACGACGTTGAAAGACTTTGAAAAATAGATCACGGGGTATCAGTCAACTGAAAATTTCATTGAACAGGAGGCTAATTTAAAGTGAACTCAATCCCTTACTCTAGATAATTCCTAATATATTATAATGTGTTTGATCCTGTCAACTCTTTGGTTGTGTATAACGCTACATCGCAGAATATTTTGTTCTCTCCGAATTCAAAAGGCTGCGTGAAAGTATAGAAGTCGGCATTCGGAACGGTGATACACATAAGGATCATAATCCGGAAGTTTGTATCTGACACAGGGATCTGTCATTTCTAATCATAGTCATCTAAGCAAATTCTATCTGAGATTCCATGCATTTCTCAAACCATAAACCTGAAAACTGTTTCACGGATGAGTGAGTGGTGATATCCACCACAAACTGGCCAAGATGGACTGTTCTATATCATGTATAGGAAAAACAGAAAGCGGTTTGCCCGATAGTCAAGCGGTCAGTATGGTTGAATTCTGCCTGGTAGGTATCAGATTCAATGCTCAATTGGATTGGTAGCCTCCACTACTGATGAGGCCCAATCAGATTGAAACAGCTGAATAATGTTTGCTATCCCTTCAGTTTATGTTTCACTTACTCTGAACACGATGAGTCAAATCAAGTCCTTTACTACTTTCATGTTAGTAAAAGGCAATTTGTCCACAAGTTTTACAGTTCCTGCTCTCATCCTGCTTGCAAACAGAAAACTAATAATTACGATTTTACTATTTTTGAACCGAGCACATCTATTAATATTTGAAGTCAGTCCAAGACCCCAACCTGTTTCGGTCGATACAGATGAAATTGACACTGTGTTCTGTTTAATCCGGAGGTCTTTCGTACTCCCGGTGGTTTTAATCGTTCAGTTCAGACCATACCAAGAACATCTGATTTTGATCTATAACCGTTTCAAAAAATCTGGCACCTATTCTTTCCCTGGTATTCTTTATAATATATATATATATGTGTGTGTGTGTTACCATCATGTCTTCCGAACCAAAACAGGCCACTTGCACTTCACTTATTGCTAGGATAAATGTTTTTCTAACCTCTTCCCTGCATTCATTCATCATTTTCCAGAAGACTTAGCGGTGTATTTCTCTTAGCTTGAGTGACGGTCAGATCCGTTTTTAATCCCCGGATTCCGTTATAAATTGCCAGGCTATTAGCGGTCTCCGTGCTGATTAATGACTAGTCGATTTTTCTCTGATTTTGCCCATATCGATTCGCTTGATTTTGTACCCAGTTATCTTCCGGGCTCCTCAGACCCGTTCTTTGCCAGACTGCGGATAGCTAGATGATCTGTTCGATTCGTTCATAACTATGATGAAGGAATGTGGATGATGCACATCTTTATGTCAAATTGCAAAAAGTGAAGGGGATAAGAAATACTTCATTCAAAAACAACGTCGTTGAACTGAAATTTAAAATCAATCATCATTTTTAGTGGTATAGCCGACCACAAGCCGAGGTTATAGAAGTTTAACAGAACGAAAGGTTCGATAATCATGAAGGTAGGGAAAATGAGAAACGTAAATTCATATTGAAGGTCTAAATTTTATTTGGGGGGAATTTGTCTGGGATAGCCGATGATGAGCATTCTACCTTCCTTGTTGAGATTCCTCAGTGATGCATACCTGGTATGTTCCTGACAAGAGGTAAGCCCTTCGAGTTTTAAACCGAAACTATCCCGTCTTCTGATCTGCTGCCAAATATGGATGGACAACCAAATTTTCTGCCACAGATCAATCACCGTCGATTCCGCGGGAATATGCCTTTGGTTGTATTACTTCTCTTGAATTCCGTTCATACGGACTGCGTCAGTTTTGTGTACAAACTAGCATATAGTAAATTATAAAAGGGAGCATTGTAGGGAAGTATAAGTCACGTTTTTCCTTTGCCATTTCACTTTAGCGATTCTTCGGTTTGAACATAATCGCGATCAGCTCTGATGGTGGTAGGATGTCTTTGTTTTCAACAGAAGGTAAAAGGTTAGTTTATGTACAAAGGATAAATATATTGATATATATTGAGATGTATTGGCATGAATACGAATCTCTGACGAAGGAATCACTTGATATTTATCAAATAAATATTCCATTTCCCGTCCATACGTCCATCCACCCATCCGTATTTATTTATTTACGAACTTAATCACTTACCTGCCTACTTGTTTACATACATACGTACCGGCATCTACTTATCCGTTCGCTGATGCTCGTACTTATAGCTGCCGGTGGCCATTTCAGGTTACTTCATGAATGATGTTTTTTCCAAAGAAAATTATAATCTAATTTTTGGTGTTGAACTATCGGTAATTTACGACGTAAACGCATCACTCACACTCGATAACCTATTGCTTTAATTTTTAAGGAGCTTTATTTTAAAGAAACCGTTATCACTTGCCAGTCCGCAAACTCTAACGCACTCGCTCAGTTCATTGGCCATATCAATGTCTCTGTTATACAAACACACACACACACCTACTCTGTCCACTAT